GGCTCCAGAGCACCCTAATAGAGAGGTAGCTCAGCTGTATTTATCTCTGCTGATTGCAGCCACTCAGTGCAGCATGAGCTGGTGCCCTGAAGATTCAAGTACCAAAGGAGAGGCTAAGTGCTATGCATAGCAATTCTAAATATATGGCTATTGAGTTATTAACCAGCCATATAAATAGTGGTGTGCATAGCACTTTTCATTTCCAGCCGCCACCCCTTTTGTGTTGGCTCAATCTGTCCTCAGCAGTTTTCGTAATGAAGCAGCATTGGAAAAACATCATTTATTTAATCACAAAGCATGAAGTCTTAAAAAGGCAGTGTCCTTTTTCTACACCAGCGTCTGACAGCACAAAGGGAGGTGGGAGGGATGTTTCCAACAAGGAAACGGGAGAGGCATTCTTGGGATGGAGTGGGAGTTAAAGGCCTTGCAAAGGCCATGCAAAACTGACCCCTGACATGAACCTTCATTCTCACATTTACTGCCCAGCCAGGTCTACTCAGTGCAGCAGGAGAGTCTTAGCAAGAAGGTTAATGTCAAATTGCAGGGGTGTATCCAATCCAGCAAGATAGGCAGTAGGAATCTGGCTTGTTTAATGTACCCAGAAACTAAGCCCAATGCCACGCTAAATGAAATATGACCTGAGGATTCCCTGAATGTGATTTTGGATGAGCAGGAGAAGAAATCTTTCCTCAGAACACTCCTTCATATAGCTAGTTAAGACAGTGGGTTCTGATTTTTTTTTTGTTCCAGAGGTGCTGAGAACCCACAACCTGTACTGAAGTCAAAAGGAGCTGCAAATACTCAGCACTTCAGAAACAGGCTCAAAATAATGCCAGGCCTGAAGAACACCTTCCCCTTCCTTCCCCTCCCTCCCCCAACGCGCACACACTAAACTTTGGGGCTGCTGAGAAATGGATGCAAGCTTCACCACTTGGGCCCATCCCAACTATCACCAGTCCGGACACAGCAGGAAGAGGTTTTGCCGTATTCAGTGATTTGCTATGGCGTGGTATTGCCTGGGAGAGGATATGGATAAGTCTCAAGGGTCTGTACAAGTCAAGCTGTAGCTGGGAGCTGATTAGACATAAGAAAGGGGAACTTAAGAATGATGGAGGCAGTCGCCGTGCACACCACGAGGTCTCTCAAGCTTGATTCATCATCCTCTCTAGATCTCCTCCTCCTCCTCCTCCTCTAGATCAACTCTGAGTCTGGTGGGGTGGAGGATGACTATAGGTGCTGTCATATGGGATGCTGGGGCTTGGAAGCAGGCATTGAGGCTTCTGGTCCCTGGGCGGGAGGGTGGCATTTGAGCATGCTGCCAAAATAAAGGGGTTGGACACAAAGTAGGGAGGGTCCTGGTATATCGTAAGGCTGTCTTGCTGGGGAACTCTTTAAAGAGCGTGCATGGAGGCTGGCTGCAATGCTAGCAGCTCGCCGATGCGTGTGGGGGAGAGACAGAGCTGCTTGGAGCATAGCGTGGGAAATGGCAGATCCAGATGGGAGTCTTGGGGAGTCCCAGTGAGACCAGCTGAGCAGGGACCAGCCAGGTACAGAACATGTGCGCACTCTTAGTCCCTAAGCAATTCCTCGGTAAGGGGAAGTGTCACTATCCCCATTTTACAGGTGCAGTGGAGAGGTGAAGAGACTTGCCTGAGGCCATACAACAAGAGCTGAAAACAGAAGGTACGTCTCCTCCCAGCCCCTGCCCTGTCCTCCAGCTCACGCTGCCTCCACCATACAAGTTCCTCCATTTCTAAACTCCCCTCAGCCACACATGTCTCAGTTGAGCTGCCTCCTTTTCATGCTTCCTGTCTTTGGAGAAATACTGGTGGTGTCTCTGAGGCCACCCAGGAGATCCACCAAATGATTTCTTAGGGCCCTGACTTACGTTCCAAACAGACATGACTTCCCGCAGCATCCTCCCCGCAGGATGCAGATTTTGCGTTTTCACCTTATTAGAGGTCGCCTGCTTACACATGTATGCTTCCACCATATCTCTGCAGCTGTGTCTTCACCTACAACCCTTATCACTGAAAGCCAACTGAATCCGGTGGGACCATGAGGCTGGTTCTCCATCAGCCCAGGTGAGCACTAAAGCTATAGTAAGAGGAGACTTTTTTGTTTTCACTGTTAATAGGAAGGGTGCATGTTATTTTCACAGGTATAATTCTTCCTGAGTCAGAGACTCCAGTGGACAACAGCTGCCCTCGTTTACACCCATGCAGCCCCAGTGATTTTAGATGGGTCCCGCTGTACCTTGCTCCTCTCACCCCACCTGTTATGAATTCATTGGGGTTTCGTGGGAGTAACCGATGGCAGAATTTGACCCCACGTATATTACAGCTTGTGTGTGACCCAGCAGTCACGATGTCCTCGGGGGAAATAATAGTGGGCTAGTTTGGAAGGAGAAAGTCATCTCCTCAGGACAAGCAAGATGGAACTAACTCCCCTGATTTGTGTTTCTTTTTGAGTACCGCATCTCCAGTCGTTCCCACCCCTGTCTGGATTGTTCCGTATTCTCAAGCTCCGCTCAGAAAGTTTAAGCAATGCAAGGCTGTGACGACCCCCTTCTATCGAGCAGTGAGGGGTCTGGCAGCTCTTGTCCAAAGATGTTTCTCTAACAAACTTGTTACTTGCATTGCAACTGTGTGCAATACTAGTCCCATTTCTGCTCATACAGCAAAACAACTGGTTGTGAGCTGGGTTTATTTCCGTGCTTTCTTATTCCATGTTTAAAACCAGGAAGGTTTTCTTTTTAATCTGGTTTCTTCCATTATCATTCCTTCCTCCTCATCCCTTGATACACTGACAATCTATCCCTTGATCCAGAACGCTTCCCCTGACCCTCCCTAAAATCCTGTAGAAAAGAGATTCTGCTTGGTGAGATTAAATTTTCTTTCAAACACAGCTTTAAGGCAAAAGTTTGGCAATGCAAAGCAAAGTCTACATAAGGCCGCATGACTTAGGTTTGCAACTCAGAACCTTTTATCATTTTAAAAAAAACCCATAATAATAAATAAATAGTCAGCGTTTAGCTCCAGGAACTTGAGTTTCATTCTGGGGAGAGAAAAAAAATCCCTTTCCTCCCACCAAACATAATAAAATCCCAGTTAAAAACCTTATTTTGTTCTGGACAGTCTGGGTGAGCTAATGAGACTGAAGTTCAAACAATAACTAAAGTCAGGAAGAAAAGAAAGCTACAGGGCTAGAAATAAAGTTTAGTTTGCTGATTCCTCCCTTAGGAATCAGGTGACGAGACAGACCCTGGTCAAGGTCTCCTCTTTAGCTTTAGCACAGTGAGATCCGTCCCAATGGGAGAAGGTAGAATGGTTGCATTTCTGTTGAATGAATAAAAAGTGCATCTCAATTTTGCTTAGATTCTAAAAGTATCTAAGTGCAGGGTTATTTTCTTCCCTTCTGGTGCCGGGATGCCAGGTTGCTATTACCGATATTTTGAAGGGATCACCACTAGTGGTGGCCCGTCCTTTGGCCTCCACATGAGTACCTGAGCATCATTGGCATTGGGTTTCACAAGGGCACTGGGTGGTATTGGCTCATTCTTGCTAAGGACCTGGGGCTGCTCTTGAGCAAAGGGTTGCCGCAGCGTAGCACGCTGCCCCAAGGGTCTGCTGGGATTCACCTCTATGCCCAGCCTCATACGCCACTTGATAGTCTGCAGGGTCACCATCTCGCTGGTGGCCGTGTTGGTGGCAACCAACCAGGTGGTGAAGCTTTGATCCCGGTGGATGCTCGTGAGTTTCGCCACGTTGCTCTCGCTCACAGGCACCGCCCACGTGACGCTTGGGTAGAAGTTATCATTCATACTGATGTTGAACTTGGATTCCTTCCTGGTGGGTCCCACGATCATGCAGGTTTCTGTGGTGTTGCCGTACCAGGGGTAGTTCACACCGTCCGAGTCACTTATGGCCTGGATCTTGCCATCTTGCAGGTCCGGGAGCTCCCAACTCGACCTGCCACAACCAAGAAGGAATCACGGAAAACTGATTAGCGCAGGGACTCACTGGGCTGGGTTTTCATTGTACAGCCTGAGAGCGGGGGCGGCTCTGAGTGCAGCTCCCTTGTATCTTCCTCCATCGGGATTTGTGCTCCCAATGTTACTCTGCGATGAGCGCTCATCCCTTCTGTTAAAACAGCATTGCAAACGCCTAGGCCCAATCCTAGAGGTGGGGGGCACCACTGCACTGGTATCAAACAGGATTGGAAATTCAGTCTCTAGGCTTGGTACCAGTGTGGTCGCAACTTAACTACTGGGAGTGCTCTCAAATATACTGGTGTTTCTAAACTTCTACAGAGGGCCCTTTATACCACGATCAGAGCCATGAGACCCACCCCAGTTCTCTTTTCTCCTGTCCCTTAAAAACCCTTTATTGCAACCGGTCTTGTGCTGCTCCTTACTCAGCCTCTTACTCATTCCCTTGCCTCCAGGACAAATAAGCTGCCTCCAGTTTCCTGGCCCCTGCTGGTTTTAAGTAAGAGGAGGAGTCAAACCCAAGTTTCCCAACTAGGCAGGGCTGCTGCCAAGCTGGCAGTCAGACTCCCAATCCTATGCAACAGGAGGAGCAGCCTTGAGTGGTGGGGAGAGGAGGTCCGCAGTCTAATGGCTTTGAGGGCCCTGCCCCTCGCTAAGTCCTGAAATAAATACTTGCGTTTAGCAGGGACCTTCCTATCTTCATTCAGTCTCTAACCACACACCATTGTTCAACGTTCTGGACAAGCCACTGTCCTCTCCAGCTGCCCCTGCTCTATACCAGTCATGGGTAGGGCCCTCCAAATTCACGGTCCATTTTGCTCAATTTCACGGTCATAGGATTTAAAAAATCATAAATTTCATGATTTCATAAATTTAAATCTGAAATTTCACAGTGTTGTAACTGTAGGGGTCCTGACCCAAAAGGGTGTTGTGGGGGGCGGGGTTGCAAGGTTATTGTAGGGGGGAGTCTTGGTATTGCCACCCTTACTTCTGCGCTGCTGGTGGCAGGGTGCTGCCTTCAGAGCTGGGCACCTGGCCAACAGCCACTTCTCTCCGGCCACCTAGCTCTGAAGGCAGCAAAGAAGTAAAGGTGGCAATACCATGACCCCCCTACAATAACCTTGCAACCCCCTTTTGGGTCAGGACCTCCTGTTTGAGGAATGCTGGTTTCGCACGTGAAATCTGTAGAATATGGGGTAAAAGTACACAACAGACCAGATTTCATGGCTGTGAATTTGGTAGGGCCCTAGTCATGGGCAAGGATTGCCTTGTACAGCATCCAGAACAATGGGGTTCTGATCCTGACCATGGGCTCTGGACACTACTTTAATACAAATTACATTAAATAAGGCCCAGCCTCTCCCTCTACCCCTTCCCCAGTCCCTCCACTTTAATCTAAGACAACTTTCTTACAGCACAAGATTTGACGGTGCAGCTAAAAACCCAACCAAACCAATAATAATGAGGCAAGTTGTTCCAGTGACCCTCGGGGCTGTTACTTTGCAGTTCAGCTACAAAAGAGCAGCCTTCCCGGGGGGGGGGGGGGGGAGAAGAGCGTTACAGTTGGGCAGATTGTTCTTAATTAGGCAGCTGGAGAGTGCAGGGAGGTAAAGTCTGTGGCTTGACAAAGGTATAGAGGGTCTGCGTATACTACTTTGCATTTCTAAATCCAGGGCGCTCACCGCATTTTCCAAACACTAATAAGCACCGTAGCCCCCCTCCCACCTACCTTGTGTTTTATCCATTTTACAGATGTTGAAGCATAGAGGTGTAAATGGTCTGATTTTTCCCCCTCCCTCCCCCCAAGTTGCTCAGCACTTGCAGAGCCCACTGACGTTAGTGGGGTCTGGGAGTGCTCGACGCTTCTGAGAACCTGGCCCTAAATGCCTGACCCAACCTCACAGCACGTTAGAGCAGTGAGAGAGTGTGCAGTCCAGTGGCTAGGCCCCTAGAGTGGGACTCAGGAGACCCGGGTTCTGTTCCCTCCGCTCCACTGCTGACCTCATGGCTGAGCTTGGACAAGTCACTTCCCCTCCCACCTTTTGTCTGTTTAGCCTGTAAGCTCTTCAGAGCAGAGAGCCTCCTGTCTGTGTGGTGCCCAGCACAAGGTGGGTCTAATTTTGGTTGGAGCCTCAGGCACTACCTACCAAAATACAAATGATAAATGTTAGTGGCAGAGCTGGGGAAAGCACCTAGAAGTTCTGACTCCTCATCCCCTGCTGTCACCGTTAGACAAAAGTGCCACACCGCAGCCCCAAGGCCATCACAGTAACCACAAAAGCAAAGGCTAAGAGGTTCAATGCCCTCTAAACCAGGAGGGGGAGGGGAGAGCAGCTGCAGTCAGTCTTTCTGATTGCAAGTTTAAACGTAATCACAGGACTCCAACGAAAAGGCTAGTGCTTTCTATTGAGAAGATGAACAAAAATGTTCCTGCCCGACCTGCATCTTTAACATCAAATGCTGGAGTTTTGACCCTTCCAGTTGGATTTTTCAGGCCCATTATGAGACGCTGATTATTGGGTAAGAGGAACATGATGCCAGAGGTAGCTGAGCTCAGCTGAGAGCCTGATTTTTTTTGCAAAGTAAACACCCCAGGGCCGGTATGCAATGCTCCATCTTTATCAGTGACCCTCCACTTGTAACAAGACAGAGCATTATTCTGTAGTCTTAATATGGAGATGCAGCTCCCAGATATTACGGGTCCCAGCATGCAATGCTCCGTTTTGATCGTGTGACCCTGAGTTATGAAATATTTGACAATACTCCACAGCATACCAGTATGTGCAATGTAGTATGTTTTGTGACCACAAATGCTGACGTGAGCCCAAAGGCCAAGATGCATTCTGGAGGCCTGCTTTTACAAATTGGGCTGGCAACGCTGGTTCTCATGTGCACACTGAATTCCTACTGGCTATCACAGGCTAGAATTACTGTGTTTGGGGGGAATTTTCTTGCACTTCAGTACAAGTCCTATGTCCCAACCTTTAAAACAGCCCTTAGAGTAAATCAGAGAAACATGCTTTGAGCACAGGACTGGGAGCAGGGGATTCTACAGTCTAATCTAATATTGACTCTGTGTGGTTTTGGGCTAGCCACTGACCCTCTCCTTGCCTCAGTTTTCCAATCTGTAACTTGGGAATAATAAAAGCTACCTCACAAAGCTGTTCTGAGGGCTAATTAGTTTAATGTTTGGAGAGCCCCATGAGATTTCTCTTTCACTAGTTAGCAGCAGAAGTTTGGCTCTAACCATCCTGTGGGATATTTTATACGATCCGAGGTTTGTCGTCGTCTCCTTGGTTAAAAGCCTTGCACTTGTGGTTATGCAGTGTGCTGTATACTGGGTGGCTGTATGCCTAGTGCTGTCGTCTGTAAAGTGCTCAGAGGTGTTGCAGGATGGAAGACACAACATAAAAGGAAAATATTAAGTGCAAAGCATTATTTTAGGAAACTGCATAGGGCGCTAAGATCTGGGGTCAAGATCTTCAAAAGTGACTAGCAACTTTGGGTGCCTACCTTCAAGGAGACTGATTTGCAGAGCGCAGGTGCTCAGCACTTCCTGGAAATTAGGCCCCTTTAAGGTGTCTCAAGTTGGGCCCCTAAAAATCACTAGTCACTTCTGAACGTCCTGGCCTCAGACCGTCCAGGCCACAGAAACCTGGCATCCTGCCCCCCAGCCTGGTAAGTTCAGTGCCATGTGATGTTATCAGAACCTGTAGGGGTATATAGCCTGATTCTGTTTGTCATGTGCTACAAACCTATTGGCTAACATACTGTCTGCGGCAGTTCTTGTTCTTCCAAGTATATTGCCAACAGACAGAGGGAGTCCTTTGCCTGAGAGCCACTTCTGACCTAAAACTGTAAAAAGAAACCCTCTGAGTGGATTCTAGCCATAACCCCATGGCACAGGGGAGGCTGATTATATGAGTGTCTCTTAAACAGCTAGGAGTCATTCCTCCCCTACGCCCCTCAACAAGGCATGAGAAAGAAAAGCTCCAGGGATTTTTCAGTGAACTCCTCCCGGCGAGGGAAGATGAATAGGAGGTCACGTACTATAGCAACAGGTTTAGCCCTTGCAGCAACGTCTCATCAAGTGTGATCTTTGAAATACCATATGGGAATCCTTTCTCCCCCTTTCAGCAGATGGTTTAGGATTACTTTCCGTTCAAATCGTTGCTGATGCTGTTTGATTGAGGCCCGGGGACGAGGCGTGACAATTTCCTAGACGTTCCTATACATTATGGATGTGCCCACTGCTGAGACACAGGCGCAGGGGCTGTACAAACGTGGGTGCACCACACTGGGACATCTCGTTTGGGACTCAGACCGCTACTTGAGGTTTGTAACTGTATCCTGAGCTGGTTTGTCCTACCCTTGCCACAGGCTGGTGGAAAAACTGTCTGGCTGAGGATGCTACTGAAACTGTGGGCATGTCTTCACTACCCGCCGGATTGGCGGGTAGCAATCGATCTATTGGGGATCGACTTATCGCGTCTAGTGAAGACGCGATAAAATCGATCCCCGATGGCTCTTCCGTCGACTCCAGAAATCCACCGCGGCACAAGGCGGAAGCGGAGTCGACGGCGGCGCGGCAGCGGTCGACTCGCCACCGCCCTCACAGCCAGGTAAGTCGACCTAAAATACGCAACTTCAGCTACACTATTCACGTAGCTGAAGTTGCGTATCTTAGGTCGACCGCCCCCCCGTAGTGTAGACCTAGCCTTAGAAAACAAGTTAATTGGTTCCACCTTAGTGCCTGATGGATCTTTTGTCTGCATCCCAAAACCACTACGTAAGAGCCTCTGGTCAGGAGCAGCTCTGCAAAGGTTGTTGCAAGTCAGCACTGAGAGGCCTAGGCAGATCTGTGCTGGGCCCTGGATTAGACCGGTAAGGAGTGTTGCTATATGGCTGAGGTGCATTGGTTTAACTTTATAGACTGACTCGGGGTGGGGGATTAGGAGTGGATGCTGCAGGGCAGGTGAA